TTTGCCCATACAGTATGAGTGAAAACTTTCAAACACGGGTGTAAGAAACAGTCGCCATTTAGCAGAGCTGGAGTAACTCAATGCTCAGAGTGTATTCCATGTCCTCCCATCTTTGCCTGATCCACAGAGGATATGAGTCCATTATAGTCATGAGCCTGAGAACTGACTCTTTAGCTCAAGCCAATTGTATTTCTCCTCCTGGTCGATCCCTGATATTTACTTAGGTTGCAGTCATCAGACTAGCATGGGTGAGATTGTGATCGCTCATCAGCTTGCGTGAAAAAGACACACTATGCATTAGGAAGGGTGAGTGCCCACAACTTGCACTGAACAAACTCCTCCGGAGCCATTCCATAATGAAGGAAAGCAATGCTACTGTGGGAAACCATTTCAAGTCACAGTCCGAAACTAAAATCCCATCCAGAAAAAAGAAACCATAAAAATCTAATTGTAGGACAGGATTTTGACTCTAACTACAGGGAATTACCTAACAGAAGCTTTGATCTCTGCATAGGCATTTTGTTTAATTACAGAAGAGACGGCTACTATATCCAGTGAGAATGTGACATCGCATGAAATAAGGTAGCCATAGCGTAGAGCCACAACTAAAAGTCTACAACAGCACAGCTACAGCGGCACCACCATAGAACTTCAGTGTAGACCGGGGGTGGACAATAAGCAGCGCAGGGCTAGACACGGTTCGCTGTGGTTCGCAGGTGGCCAGCACTTTATTTACCTGTGCGTCTGCAGGTACATCCGCTGGCAGCTTCCATTGGCCATGGATCGTCATTCCTGACCAATAGAAGCTGCAGAAAGTGGCGTGGCCAGGGACAGTGCTTCCTGCTGCTCCTATAGGCCGGGAATGGTGATCTGCAGGTGTGCGGTAAGCAGCATACACAGGTAAATAATACGTATTCTATGTAGCTGGAGTTGCGTACTTTAAGCCAAGCTCCCAGATCCAGTGTAGACCCTGCCTAAGTCACTAGACTTATTTGATTACACAGTAAATGACACAGGGCCACACTTCAATGACCAAATTTACAAGAAGTGAATTGTGGTTTCTCTATAGCTTTCTTCCAGTTTTGTTAGTTGAAATAACATGTTGCCAACAAGCTAATGCTATTTAACACTGAAGACGATCTGGAATCCTGCTGACTTCTTTTCACTTTTGGGTGCATGCCAAAGATAAGACTAGGTGTTCTTATTTTAAAAATAACGTTCACATTTGAACTTCAAAGACCGGTTGCTGACTTCTGCCTATGAAATTTTCAGTGGAGTCTTCAGATATAATAATGTTACTCCTTTTACTCCGTCTGGGATTTAGGCTTTCTGGGTAAATTCATGCCGATCTCCGGTTTGGGTTTTAGTGATTTTACCCATCTTTGTTTTGTGTCTTTACCTGTTGTGATTCCCTCCCTTTGGGGCATCTGGTATTGGCCACTGTCAGCAGACAGGATACTGGGCTAGATGTACCTTTGGTCCGACCCAGTATGGCCGTTCTTATGTTCTTTGTGACAGTGCCATGGAATGTGACTGTTCTGAACTGAGAACTGCCCCTGGGGGATTCTGAATATGTGTCATGTGGATTTTATGTGGCTCTGGCAAAACCAAATGGGTGATCCAAAGTCCACTGGAATCATTGACGACCTGGGCTTTGGAGCAAGCCCTTACACATTGGAATTTACCAGTTTAGGAATGATGCAGTTTTCAAGTCCAATAAGTCTGTAACCTTCCAGAGATTTCAAGGTCTTGCCCAAAGGAGCAAGAGATTTCAAAAGCTACTCTTAAAAAACCCCACCAAAATCCAAGAAGTAAATGAGACCTTATTGTGGAAGTCCTGGAGTAATCACAAGGAGATTCTGGCCCTCAGCTGAAACCATCAACTTTCATGTGATTATTTTATAGTGCTCATAATGTTCACAGCAGATGAATGCAAGCAAGGACTCATTTCTTTTACATTCAAGAAACTGTTTGTGTTGGCAGAAAATGTCTCTTCAAAGCCTATTAATGGTGAATTACAAAATAAGATAAAACAGTAAGTTACTTAAACTGGTAATCAAACCTGTTTACCTTGATGAAAGGAATGGTTAAGGGCAATGAAGGGCGTAGCAACAGATGAGAGACTCACACATTGAGCCCAATACTTCAAACGCTTACTCTGATGAGTAGACAAAACTCAGGATCATTTAGATGGGTATGAACACACCTGGAAGACCCCCAGGGAGCTGACAGACTTAAGTGGGGAGAGGACCGGTTCCATGCTCCCTTAAGGAATGGGGATTCAGGTGGAAGGGGTGGGGCTATGGCAGGCAGCTCTCAGTGCCACCTGGAGCGAACCACGCCGTGGCCCCTCCCCCAGCTGCCCAGAGCAGGCCATGCGGTGCTCCAGTGGTGATCTAAATGGCCCAGGGCAGCAGTGACTGGGACTTCAAAGCCTTTTTGAATCGCCAGGCCCCGGGGCAGTTGCCTCCTTACCTCCCTGCTGCTGATGAGCCCAGAGACCCCTTTTTACCAATTGTTCTTAGTAAGGTTAAACCACAATGTCCAACAAGATAAATCCCCGTTGAGTACAATGGCTTAGGGAAACAGTAGACCTATTTGGTCAGTCTCACCACTCAGACACTGGCAGCCTTATACTGGCTAGCCATAGGCTCGAAATTAGAGTTTCATAGGAACTGCTAAGGAGCAGAAATATTTGGCGCACCTAGATCAGTATTTTGTTGTTTGTCTAACAGGACGTAACTCAACGTGAAGTCATTGTGATGACCAGCAGCCACATATGAAGTTTCATAGTGTAAGGACAGACAGACCTCGGGAGTATCTATTCTGACCTGCAACATCACACAGGCCAGGGTGTTTCACCCCGTCATTCCTGTATCTGCCTGCATAGCTCAGCACATCACTGACTCTGCAAGTCCATTAGCTGGTGCAGTAGTGAGCACGTTTTGCAGGGCGACCTGAGAAGTTTAGGTATTAGGGCTCATTTTGGGCCTGGTAGACAACTCTTTATATGATCATTACACCAAATCCTGAGAGTAGGGTTGCCAGGTGTCTGGTATTGAACCGGACAGTCTGGTATTTTTGCCTCCTGTCCAGTAAAAAAATTCAGAGAATACTGGACACCTAAAACGTCTGATATTTTCTGTTTTTTTCCCGGGCAGGAGGCAAAAATCCTGGGTGCTTACCGGGTTCTGCAGGGGAGCTGTCCGGCCCGGTGCAGGGAGGCAAGATGGCAGGCAGCCGCCAGCAGCCAGTTAGGGCCAAAAAGCCTAAAAAATAAAGCATTTCTTAAAGGGCCAGGCTGTTTTTGTTTTGTTTTGTTTTTTGTTGTTTTGTTGTTTTTTGCTTAACAACTCTCGGGGTCTCAGGGTCCTTTTTTGTTTTGCTTTTGTTTGGTATTTTTTCAGAAACCATCTGGCAACCCTACCTGAGAGGTACTGAGGATGTTCAATCCCAATGAATCCAGCAGAGGCTGCAGGGGGGGAAGGGCCTTATGGATTTGGCTCCAGCTTTTTGTAGCAAGTTTCTAATTTACAGTGGGCTTAATCGGGAAAGCCAGACTCCAGTTTTATTGACGTCAAAGGGGGAAGTGGGGAGTTTACTTAATTAAGGGCTGAATTGGGACTCATGGCCTTGACCCAAAACATGCAAACGTCTTAAAATACAGGGAACCCTCGTCAGTTGCAGCGGATGTGTTCCTGGTACCACCACAAATGGTGAAACCGGCAAATACTGGGAGTGGCAGCTTCCAACTGCCACAGTGAGCTCCCAAACCTGGTCGCTGCCGTGAGCGTCCTGTGGCTCCCAAACTCACTGCAACTTCCAGGATCTGTGGGGAGCCCACCAGGAAGGCCAGGAGCCATGGTGAGTCCCCTGCAGCTCCCAGGAGCTGCAGAGGGCTCCCCAAGGAGGCAATGAGTGCAGGAGTGGGTGTTGTTATCTGGTAACAGGCCATCCTGAAGCTTTGTGTGCCCCCTACCCCCCATCCATGGGATGGGAGACACCTCAGAATACACAAAGTCATGGAATAGAGATTCTGAATCACAAGGATCTCCAGTAATTGCTTTGACTGCAGAGATTTTCCACCCCACTGAGGTGACCTGAAAAATTCCCATCCACTGGAAAGATCCAGGAATGCATCCTCATCCGTGCTCTCCGGCTCCAAGAGCACCATGCAGGAATATCACGGAGACTGCTCACTTCCCGGGCCAAGAACCCCAACCCAGAGATGTCAGGCAGTGAAATCACAGCTGCCCTTTGATGTATTTTGTTGCGCACAGTTCACATGTGAATTGAAATAGGATTGCTCACCACTTTTGGTTCCCAAAGATTAAAGCCAATGTCTTCATGCTCTCAGCATGAGTATGATACCTGTTCAGGGAGGAAAATCTTAGATCTTGATGAGTCAGATACCACTGTTTCTTTAAAATACTGGTAGTACCTGGCCACCATCCCAGAAAGAAGATTCAGAATAGGATCAAACAAATGAAAACTAAGTATTTGCAAAGGATAGAGGTTTGGTGTAAAGACCCAGGATAGGGCAATG